TAGACCTTGAGATTAAGCAACTTGATGTGAAGACTATATTCCTTCATGGTGATTTGGTGGAGGAGATCTACATGGAGTAGCCAGAGGGTTTTAAAGTAAAGGGAAAAGAACACATAGTTTGCAGATTGAAGAAGAGCCTCTATGGTTTGAAGCAGGCACCCAGGCAATGGTACATGCAACTTGATTCTTTCATATTGAGTCATAGCTACCAGAGGACAGTTACAAATTTTTGTGTATATTTCAGAAGAATTTCAGATTCTAGCTTTATTATCCTTTTATTTTATGTGGACGATATGTTGATTGTTGGTCAGGATAGTCAGATAATCATTGGGCTGAAGAAGGAGTTATTTAAATCTTTTGACATGAAGGATTTAGGCTCGGTACAGCGGATTCTTGGTATGGATATTGCTCGTGACAGGAAAGCCAGGAAGTTGTGGTTATCATAGGATAAATATGTTTAATGACTACTTAATAGATTCAACATAAAAGATGCAAAGTCAGTCTGTACTCCTCTTGCAAGTCATTTGAAGCTTAACAAAAAGTTTTTTCCGACTACATATGAGGAAAATGGTGAGATGGAGTATATTTCTTACTCTTCAGCTGTATGGACTTTAATGTATACCATTGTTTACACTCGGTCAGATATAGCTCATACAGTTAGCATTGTGAGCATGTTTCTTTCTAATCCAGGGAAACTTCATTGGAAAGGTGTAAAGTTGATCTTAAAATATTTAAAAGGCAATTCCAGATTGTGTTTGAGTTTTGGAGGTTTGAAGGCAATATTATATGATTTTGCAGATACGGATATGGCAGATGATCTCGATCAAAGGAACTCTACATCAGGTTGGTTGTTCACTTTTGTAGTGGGAGCAGTATCTTGACGATCCAGGTTATAGAAGTGTGTTACTTTATCTATAACAGAGGCAAAATATATTACAGCTACAAAAGCCGGTAAGAAGATGATTTGGTTGAGAAGATTTCTGTAAGAGTTAGGCTTACAACAGGACAATTATCAAATTTTCATTCATAGTCAAAGTGCTCTTGATTTGAAGGACGAAACACATTGATTTGGTTGAGAAGAATTCTACATTCCAATCCAGGATAAAATACATTAATGTGAGATATCATTAGCTTAGAGAAGCCTTTGAGAAAGAGGAGCTAAAGTTACAGAAGATTTACACAGATAAAATCCAACAAATTTTTTAACGAAGACCGTTTTCAGAGAAAAGACCGAGTTGTGTCGGCAATTGACCGGCATGATCTCCCGTTGAGGAGTTATAGATAGGGGTGTCCAAACGGCCTGGCCCAGCCTGGAAAACCGGGCCCGGGCCGAGCAAAATCGGGCTGTTCATATCTCAGGCTGTTCATATCTATCGGCTACTCGTCCAGATATTTCTCAGGATGTTCATATCCTTAGTCAGTTTGTCAGTGCTCCTATCTCAGTTTATTATGCAGTATTACTTCGTAGACTTTGTTATCTTTGTAGAACCATTGCTCATATCACTATTTTCAGCTTAAAGTCCTTTCTTCCTTTACAGGCTTATTCTGATGCTAAATAGGCAGATGATCCTGATAATTATCGTTCAACAACAAGCTTCTACATTTTTCTGGCTTCTCTCTTATTTCTTAGCATAACAAGTGTTAGGTTGTAGTCTCATGTTCGAGCACCGAGGTAGAATATAAAGCTATGGTTAATACAGCCTCGGAACTCAAGTTGCTACACCGCCTTCTGAGTGACACCGGTGTCTCTATGATGCCACTTATTCCATCGCGTTGTGATAATAAAAGCTCCATTGCTATCGGCACCAATCATATATTCCTTGAACAAACAAAATACATTATAGTCAATTGCCATCTTGTTTGTCAAAATATATTTCAAAGCAGATTATTCTTCCTTACATATCCTCTAGGGATCATATAGCTAATTTATTCACGAAAGCTCATACTACTGCTTGGTTTCACCAGTTTCTACCCAAACTCTTGTTGTTTGATCCATC